GTTTTTCCCACGCCCCCCAGGGTAACCCCAACATCCTTTTGCGGCAGCAATTCCACGGCACGTACGGAGTAGAGGGGTGTAGCTCACGTCAGGTGGGGAACAAGAAGGGAAACTGGAGGCGCTTGGGTCGACCAGGCCATTGTACAACAGTAAAACAATAGAATCAACAGTTCAGTAACGTAACTATTTCAACTCTTGAAATTTTTTTGATTAAAATTTTATAAATATTTTTTAAATAAATTAAAAATAATATATTCATATTTTTATTTTATGTAAAATGTAAAATATAATTTGATAAAATATTTGATTAAAATAGAATAACATTTAATTTTCTTTTTCTTTTGTTATTCAGTATTTCTTTTTATTTCTTCATATTGAAAATTTAAATTTTATATTTATTACTAATAAAAAAAGAAAAAAACATGCGATTTAAATATTTAAGTGAATAATAATTGCATTAATATCAAGGGTTTTATAGACACCTCTTATTAATACATACCTGTTCGAGCCACTTACGCGGGTAGTAATAACTCTACGTTATCGTTTCGAACTTAGTTACTCGGCGAATATTGTAGGAGTAAGTTCTATTAACGTTTCTTTGAAAATTTGTCAAAATGAGTTTATCGTTCGTTGTTTAGTTGAAAATAACGAAATTAGAAAAAGATAGATCAGAATAAGGTAACAAAATAATATGTATCCAATTATAATTATAATTAATTTCAAACGAAATTTCGAAATAATATTTTGGATTTAAAGTGGCGCGCGCGGTTAAACCACTTCTGTGAGTTGGTAAGACTGTTCGGAAAATTCGGAAAGTGAACAGGTGTTTTTTGAATGGATTAGGGAGAATAGGTGACGAGGACGCAAAAGGATTTGCGAATGGTGAAGAATCGAGGAATAATGTGATACTTGTGAATAACTAATAATAATTTAAAAAAATGCATTGGGATTTATGTTTCGAATCGAGTTGAAAAATAAGGTAAATATTAAAAACGTAACCTGTTTTTTGTTCGGTGTAACCTTTGCATCAAAAAAGTAAATAAACAGTTTTTTAAATATTAATTAAAAAATATATATGGATTTTTTATTTAATAAATATTATTAATTTATTTATGAAATTAAAAAAATTTATGATGAATAATCATAATGTTTAATTTCTGTCATTAAATCAAATATAAAAAAATTTAAATTTTTCATTTTCATAATGTTCTTTAATAAGAAAATCTATACAAGAGTATCATTCTTTATTTTTTTCTATAGTATAAAATTACATATATGCATATAATACTTTATACAATACTTTATATGTACATATATGGAATTTAAATCACCTTGTCATTTATATAATAATATAAGTTTTTACAATATTTATAATACAAAAATAGTTTATCTGCAGTTTCACATGAAAAGATGTATCTATAATTTTATTCACTATGCATTTAATTAAGTATACGTAACTTATATCAAACAATTAACATTGTAATTTTTATTTTATTAGAAATAGTTTTCCATTTTTATAATATTATTGTGACTTTCTTGTTTTTATAAAATTTATGGAAATATATAATTTAATTTAATGATAGTTATGATATTCAAAAATTAAAATATGTTTGAAAAAATTATTTTAATAGATAAAATTAATCAGCGAACATCTTTATATTTACAAGTACATAGATATAATTGTATAGACACAACGAACAAGGTGATTTAATTCATGCAGGAAAAATGAGCTCAGCTTGGTTCCCACAGTATATATGTACATTTCCTCTTTCCTGTACTAAGACTAACAATTCTTAGTAGCTCGTTTAAAGAAAGATACCTTACGTTAATTATATCTTGCATTGTAAAAAAACAAAAATCTTTCCCACACTAAGCTCTTAAATGAACAAAATTGTATGATTCTATGCTTATCCAAATATACATAGTAAAAAACCAATATTTATATTATATCACAATATTATTATATTTTTTATATAGTATTCTAATATTTGCAGTAACAAATTATAATAATATATATAATTTATAAGATATATTTATATATTTCATTTGAATTTGATTTGATAATATTTTTACTCTTTTAATATTTAATTAATATAAAATTTAAAAAAATAAATAATGGTAGAATGATAGAATGATAGATGATGGATGATGGAAAATAATATATTGATTGTAATTAGTTATAATGTAATGTATTTCAGGTAAAGGGGCAGAGATAATTATGACATGCATAGATGACAAGGATAATCTTCAAGCAACCTAACAACTCTATTGTATAGTCGAGAGAATCGAAGTGAAGGTTAAATATGCCACACCAGTTTGGTTTGCCCACGATGGCACATGGAATGCAGTCTCCTCCTTCGCCGACTTCGGTTATGTCAGTTTACCCTCGATTCGGATCCGGTGTTTATAGACCGGATCATCAAGATCAAAGGTTGACACGCGAAGCAATGGAACGGTATTTGCGCGATAGAAGCGACATGGTTATTGTAATCCTTCATGCGAAAGTCGCGCAAAAATCGTATGGTAACGAAAAACGATTCTTCTGTCCTCCACCGTGTATCTATTTGTTTGGAGATGGATGGAGAATGCGTCAGGAACAGATGCTTCGAGAAGGAGAGAGCGAGCAGTCCGCTCAATTGTGCGCGTTTATCGGAATCGGTAATTCCGATCAAGATATGCAACAACTCGATTTGAACAATGGTAAACAGTATTGCGCGGCAAAGACACTTTATATTTCGGACTCGGATAAGAGAAAGCATTTTATGCTCTCGGTGAAAATGTTTTATGGTAGCGGACATGATATCGGTGTGTTTCATAGTAAAAGAATCAAAGTGATCTCGAAACCGTCGAAGAAAAAACAATCTTTAAAAAACGCTGATCTGTGTATAGCGAGCGGAACAAAGGTTGCCCTATTCAATCGGTTACGATCTCAAACAGTTAGTACGCGTTATCTTCACGTAGAGAACGGAAATTTTCATGCAAGTTCTACGCAGTGGGGTGCATTTACTATACATCTATTGGACGATAACGAGAGTGAGTCGGAAGAGTTTCAAGTACGAGATGGTTACGTACATTACGGTAGTACAGTGAAATTGGTATGTTCTGTAACGGGAATGGCGCTTCCACGTCTAGTAATTCGAAAAGTGGACAAACAAATGGCTAGTCTAGAGGCTGATGATCCCGTTTCGCAGTTGCATAAATGCGCCTTCTATATGAAAGACACGGATCACATGTATCTCTGTTTGTCTCAAGAACGTATTATCCAATTTCAGGCTACTCCTTGTCCAAAAGAAGCAAACAAAGAGATGATAAACGATGGTGCCTGTTGGACAATAATTAGCACTGACAAGGCAGAATATCAATTTTTTGAGGGTATGGGTCCGGTTAGATCACCAGTGACGCCAGTACCGTTGGTCCACAGTTTGCATTTGAACGGTGGCGGGGACGTTGCAATGCTTGAATTGACTGGAGATAATTTTACGCCTAATCTTCAGGTGTGGTTTGGGGATGTGGAAGCAGAAACTATGTACAGATGTCAAGAAAGCATGCTTTGCGTAGTACCGGACATATCACAATTTAGGGGCGAATGGCTTTGGGTACGACAACCAACTCAGGTACCTGTCTCGTTAGTTCGCAACGATGGTATCATCTATGCAACTGGTCTGACGTTCACCTATACTCCAGAACCCGGTCCTCGACCTCACTGTCCGCCCGCAGATGAAATTATGAGAGCACCGCGTGCCATGCACAATCAAGCGAGCATGCCACCTGCAATCGCGGATGTACCTTGGAACACTCATCAACCTCCTCAATCGGGTCTCTGATGTTTTCTTGACAATTACAGTGCGCATCACCAAAGTTTACGAGTTAGTGAAACGAACACTGTTTCGAACGTTTCTGTTCATTTTTCGAACGATATTCCTATTGTTTCTATCGATACCGAGTCAATCAGCAATAATGCTAACTCAACCATCACTTATACAACGAAAGACCTGTTGCATCGAGTCAATAGCACGACGAGTTTGAATGATACGAAAAGCAGCACATAGCAACCGCTTAGTTGCATTGCGTTGCGATCCATTGCGTTATATTATGTTGCCTTTTGTGGGTACTACATATGTACAGTGCTGAGCCGAGAATCGTTTACCCTATGTTTATAAATATGTAGGTTCCTAGCTTTAAGTGTTAATACAGAATTACACAGGGATTAAAATTTATAGCGATTTTAGGATTAAGAGCTTTCTACGAATGTGAATATTTAGCTAATTAGTCAGTAAAAAGTTATGAAAGAAATGGGAGGGGAAGGGAGAGCGCGCAAATTTAAAAAAAATTTGTTCGTCTATATCGAAATGATAAAACGAATTGATATCCTTTCGTAATATCAATCCAGTTATCAAAATACGGCAATTGCCAGACTGCAATTACATATCGATCGCTGAAAATGAGTATACATTTTTCGTCGATTATTGCTAATTTTTTACTTGAAAGATCTTTTTATTGAAGAGATCTTGTTTGGCTTAAAATTGACCGTTGACATCAGAAATATCGTGAATAAAAACGATATGTGACATACAATGTATATTATATTCGTATATATATAATTTTTAGCGTGATATCTTGCTGATATTTTTACATATATCAAATTTAAAGATAATCGATTTTTTTAAAAAAAACATTCGTTTTTATTGAAAAAAATAGATAACTTGCTATCGCGGATTAAAATTAAATTATTAATTATTAATTTATTTTTTATAAGTCAACCGACAAATGATTACTATTACTTTTGTAAAGTATTTTATTCGTGTATAGAAATCATTCTAGTTTTACAGAAAAAAATGAATCCATTTTATAATTCAAAATTATAATATATGCTATATCGGTTGACTTTGTGCGCTATTCAATTATTAATTTTTTCGTACCGATTATTTATTATAATAATTGTATTATTTCGTCAATGAAACTTTTGATTGCTTATTAATGTAAACAAATATTATGCACGCTTTTTATTAATCTCACTGATTATCAATACCTTAATTTTTCAATTGTGATAAAAATTTTTGGTATCAATCTGCAGAGACGACAATATGCTTGTTCACTTGAAAATATGTATTGGTGCATTTTAAATGGATGAAACAAAAGAAAAGTTTAAGTAGTATATATACGTTTTTATGTCTCTCTATGTTTTGCAATAAATTGAAAAGATTTATATAATAAAATCTTTACTCTATTACCTATACATTATTTCCAAATCCCAAGATTCAGTAGTAGAGACAACCAGAACTATTAATGTATCGAGTTGGATCAAAGAAATAATACTGTTTTTAACTGAATTTGTTGGAAATATGAAGAAAGTGAGACATTGTTATACACAAAATACGATAATACGTTTCGATCAAAATAATGGAATTTTATTAAAATGGAAATTAGAAATTATCTATCAGAAACAATTCATTTCTTGATTTTTCAACTTGGTATGAGTTTTTTTCCAGATACCATCGAATATAATTATTTGCAGCAGGAAGTGAGATAAGATCGCTTTGGGAATTGTCTTCCTGAAGAGATCCATTGTAAAAGAGGAATGTCGGTATATGTATACTATGGGAATTTACCCACGATTAAAATTTGCACCAAGTACCTGAAGAACATGATTATCTTTATTCACAGTAATAAATTTTTTAAGTTAATAATTACATCCTTACATGTATCAGTGGACGGATAATTATTGAGTAATCATTACGTTTCATTAGAAAATTATTTTAAGTACACGTTCGAACGTAAATTCTATATTTTTGAATAATTTTTTGCAAATATAGAATTATTTTAGATTACACATAATATTAATTATATATACATCCCAATTTATATATATATATATATATATCTCCAATTCAAAATGAATAGAATACGTTTGAATGTGAACTTCTTTCATTGTATATTTCTTTTTCCTATATGTTAAAATAATATTTTACAAAATTATATGAAAAATCTTATTTGTAAATAAATCATATACAAACTTTTTTAACTAATTATTTGTGTACACGTGCATCATAATCCCCTTTATATTCTCAAACATTATCATATTAACGAAACTTGAACGACAATGGATACAATAACAGTAAAAATAGTAACGTGAATATATTGTATATACTTATATGTATATATAATAAAAAATTTATAACAAAAACATATATATGTATATAAAACGTTTCTTATTATAGAAACGTTTAAGGATATATTATTATTACTATATGAGATTTTCTATTGTGCTTGGCAACGTTCTTTCTGTGAAAAATTATTCGAGTATATCTATAATAAGTACAGAATTATCTATTATTATGTTGAAATGGATTAATATTTAAATATATTTTCTATAATTAATATAAAATTAATTTGATAAATAGCATGAAAATCGAAAATTTTTAATTATTGAATTATCTGATATTTCTTAGTCTTGACTATTTTAATATTTTCTTAACATTCCTCATTCACATTCTCATCTTGCGCACATTTAATCATCGATCACGGTTTAAAATAGTTCAATAAAATCACATTTATTTTATCCGTATTGTACGTTGCTTATTCATATTTGTAAGCATTAACGAAATATATGAAGTTAAAAGATCATCCATTTTATATCCAAGTGAAGTTTCGCACAATAATTTCGAACCTCGAACTAAATTTCCTATCGTCATATGAAAATAAGTATTACCTGACGACCAATTTGAAATTCTGGTAAAAGGATGCGTTACTAATATATCCTAAAAATACAAAATGTTTATAGTGAAATATTTTATTAATTACAGAAATTGTTATTTATTAATAACAGAAATAGATGATTACTTACTTTCGTTTGTGGATGTATAAGACTTACACCATGTTTATTGATAGCAATTAACAATAATTCCGGATAATTTGGTTCTGTACTTTGTTTAACTTCAAAAAATGCCGAACCAAAAGTTGGCCATCGATAAACAATTTTCAAAAATGTTATTTTAGCATCTTCTGGGCTCATACCTATATATAACGAAATATTTATTTATCATATATATATAGACAGAGAGAGAGAGAGAGAGAGAAAAAAAGAATCGTAGTTTCGATTTAAAATAACATGGATTTAAATTGAAATGATATCTCACCAGCATCTTGATTATATGCTGCTATTATCGATCTTTTCCAATCATTGGAACTTTGTACCTTCACTAAATCGCCGGGTATAAGTTCTCTTAACATTTGCCTGCAAAGAATCCTATTTGAATCCTTATCTTTAAATATAATATTTTGCTTATATATAATATTCACTTACGGAATCGCTTGAAGTTCCTGTTTACTCTCACCAAAACGAACTCTGTACACCAATGCTGCTAATCTCGATGCTTCTTCTTTTGTACATTTATGATACCCTATAAAAAGTAGATAAATAAATACAATTAATATAATATGATCGAAACGAATAATTTGAGAAAAAGAAGTGATTCTCACCTCTTAATAATTTAGGAAGTTCTTGATGAAAGTGGAAAATGAGGTCTGCGTTTCTATCCTTACCAGGAACAGTATTGGTCCATAATTTTTTCATAAAAAAGACTTGATATGTAAATTGGGGTGATACGCCTAAGCAAAATACATGACTTTTATAAATATTATTCTTTTGTCACTTTTTTTCTGTTTAAAAAAAGATTTATAAAAATCTCTACCATCACGAGACGGTCTAGCTTTTCTTATCCAATCTGTCAAATGCCGTACAAAATCGAAAAAGAAATCCCCTTCCGGAACTGAGATGACTTTGTCGGCAATCTTCACAAAAAGACTGAATCCTTCTGCGGACCGTAAATTTAATCTTTGCGCAATGTTTTGACAAAAATCTTTAGCTCTCGTTGATGAATCTACTTCGAATGCCTGTATAAAAATAAATTAGAGAATGATTAGTTATGAATTTTGTATAATTGTTCATTCATAAAATGAATAAAAAAAATAAAATGTAGATATTTAGAATATTATACGTACTTCGTCTGTATCGTCGGGAAAATAAACTTTATGGAATATTTGTGTCGTTTTATGCTGTATAGCTTCCACTTCTACTTGATGCGGAGGATATTTTCGCTGGCCATTACGTAAAGTTTTTTGTAACCTTTGTAGAGAATCCTGAGATATAGGATGTCGTCTCGTACGCAAGAATAATGTTAATTCCTGCGAATGAATAGAAACAGGAATGAAATAACAGGATCACATTTTATTTGTAGCAAATATTACGAATATCATTTGTGTATGATATATTACCTTCAAAAGACTTTGACTACAAGTAAAAAGACCAGTGGCTAGCCACATTAATTCCCATCCGCGCTCTTCGCTCAATCTATTCCGATTATCCGTTAATTGTTTCATGACTTGACAATAAATTTCGTCCCGAAGAATTTCGTTCTTTAATGGTCCATCGAAAATAAGATCGGTATACTCGTTACCGATTCGAGGTCTTTTTGTTGGTAGATCACCCATGTATTTTAAGATCGCGTTAAAGGCAAAACACGCTTCTTCGGCTAATTCTTCTTTAGATATCAATTTCTTTAAAAGAGGTTGTTTGATCGGATCTCTGGAATGATGCCACAACTCATCGGTATGGCCACGTCGCGCTGTTGTCAACGTCAATGCTTTCGACATTGTTCTTTTTGGAGGCGTTCTGAAACGAGATAAATTTTTTTTTTTATTTGTCACGACAGTATATATATATAAAATATTTGTTACGAATATACAAATTTCATTTACCGGAAATGATCAATAGCATATTCTAAGAGGGTGTGAGGTTTGTCACGAGATTCTACACCATTTACTTGCTGCGGATACAATTTTCGGCCATTTTCTGTCCCTTCGATGCTGAACAAGGACTGAAAAAAAATCGATTATAATATTTTAGAAGATTATTTTCATATGTATGTAAGAAAGGAGGAATAGGGGAAAAGATAAAAATAATATGGTATATATTGTTTATAAAAAATGCGTTCGGATTACCAAAATATCGTTTGGTGGTTTCGTTAACGAGGGCAAAACATAAACTGTCTCGGCTGGAAAATCGCCTTTTTCACCGGTTCTTTCGCATGTGCCGACGCACCATCCCGAATTAAGAACAGTTTCGCCGGTACTTTCCTCCTCCAAAATGATGAGATCTCCCTTTTGAAAAGTCAAAAACGAGGAACCTTCACCTGGTGCTTTGTAATCTTGCAAAGCGATAACGTATTTACTACGTTTTTTCAGACCTTCCAAGAAGTATACCACCAAATCACGAATATCCTCGGCATTAGGGCTTTGAAAAGTAAATTCTTCTCCTCGCACCGTTGATAAATTAAACGTTTGCGTGAACATTTTATTAGTTCTGAAAATTACGGTGGAGTTACGGGATGATAAAATAAAAAAATAATGGAAAATAGATAAAAAAAATGGATAAAGATTTGTAGCAAACGTACTTCTGACTAGACACGGTGGTAATCTCGGGAAATGACAATTCGAGAAGTACTTGTTCTTGATCATCTACGACGTATACTCCTGTCCAATTGACAGCTATAATAACATCATTTTTTGGCAAATTCGGGCCAGAATTTCTATATGCTTCGTAAAAACGAGAAAAAAGCAATGGCCACTTAAATTTGGCATAACCAACGATATCTTCTTTAACGCGTAAAGCAGGTACCTTCTCCTTTAAATAATAACTCTAGAGAAGAAGAAATATTTCAGATAATTGTTAATAAAATGAAGCAAAGATTTATTTATAGTCACCTTTTTATATGCTTGCAAAACGAGATGTCCCCATCTATCGATCGCTTTGTCAATACCCGTCAAACAATAGTCTGGAATATAATTCGGCAAAAGAGTGTATAACCTATCAACGTTCATGTCCGTGTGATATTCGATGTAATATTGTTGGGCGGCGATCATTGCTAAATCTTCTTCCTTGTCGCAACGATACTCGCCAAATTTAACCCCTCTAACTACCTGTTGATAAATTAAATTAGTAGCGACTTGATCTTCCGTTGGCTCGTGCCAAGGTGCGAATATTTCTTTTCTGAAGAACAATCTCCACGGAGCATTCCTTTCTTGAGCACCTTGCTCCTTAGCGTATTGTTCGCATTGAGAAATGGCATCCATCACGTGATCTCCACCACTACCGAGGGACGATACTTTATCGAACAACGCGATGTAAAGAGAAAATCCGAATTGATCACGTAACGATATTTTATCGGACAATTGATTGCACAATTCTCTGGCGGTGGTTGCAGAATCGGCAAGTAATGTTTTAGTATTACCATCCATAAACGTGATTGGTAACATGATAGGTTTCTTCGATTTGGTCGCTTGAAGTTCCAACCAGCTCGGCGGTTGATTCCTCGTACCGTTGTTGAACGTTCTCTTCAGTCGATCCTCGCAATACGGTGCGTATCCAGGTGGTCCCTCTCTAATGAATGCTCGCAAATAATTGACAAATTTCTCGGACGGTGCGAAACATCCAACGCAAAGCGAGAGCAAAATCCAACCGCGAGCGTGCGAAGATTTGGAAGGATTATTCGTCAGTTGTTTACATATTTGACAATATATCTCGTCTCTCAATTCGGCACGTAATATTCCGTGACCAATAATAAAATGCAATTTTTCGAGATTCGAGGTGGGCCTCGCTTCCAACCAAGACTGATAACTATCCGCTGTGTATTCGTCTTCTTGTAACTTCCGTCTCACATCCTCGCCTAGTTTATTTTTTCGTTTCAACGTCAATGAGACCAACTTGTGTCTTATCGATCGTGGTTTTTGTCTGAGAAACGTTTCCGGATCTACACCCATCATTTGTGCTTCTTGGAATTCTTTGCTTCGAATGAAATTGCGGCCAAGCGTGGCTGTAACCTTCGACATAACCGAAGTCGTATCTCTGTCCATCGTATGAAATCTAGGCTCGGGTAAATCTCCGGTGAAACGAAGTATCGTGATCCATAAAGCTTGCGCGGCTAACTGATCCCCTTGCGTATGCAAAGGTAACAATGGATGCTTCAACGGCTTTCTCGAATATTGGTGCGTGATATTCCCTTGGAAATAGGTTGCCGCAAATTTTTGGAATTTGAACTCCGATAAATCCTCCTCATCCTCCGAGGCCGTTTGAACAGGACTAATGATTTCCTGTTGATCCGCTTTTGGAGCGGGAAGATCATTGAATACGGAAGTTTCCCTGGCAGGAGTAGGGGCCTCGCTGCTTGAATCCGGCAAGAAATCAAACATAGCCTCGACCAATTTGCTATCGTCAACCGGTTCGTCTTGCTTCTTAGCTGCGTCGTTTATCAGATTTTTTTTAATTTCCATTCTACGCCGATCTTCCAATTCCATCTCAATTTCTTTCCTCTCCAACTCTTGCATTCGTTCCCTATAATTTTGCTCGGCAATTTCTTTCGCCCGTTTATTACCTTGATCTTTCAACTCCCGTTCCTCTTTCTTTCGAAGTCTCAACGCTTCGACGTGCAACCGATACTCGTACTTGATCTTTTTGTATCGTCTTTGCGCGATCAGCCTTCGAACATGAGCTTGTATCTTCACGATCGCCCACAATTTTTTTTGATACATTTTCCTCACCAGATAACCTCTGGCTCGCGCCTGAAGAGCGACTATGTGCCCTCTGAGATGCCTAAACCTATGAGATAACACTCGCGATCTGATCAAGGCTTGAAGTCGCATGTAACCGATGCGCATGCGTTTGTACCGTTGTCGTTGCGCGTAACCCCTCCAATATTTTTGTACCACTGTTGCCGCTGTTCTCATGCGGAGGAACCTTCTTCTGTAAACCCAACCACGTATATTGCGCTGTAGTATTAGAATCTTTCGCGTTAAAACACGGTCGCGTTCTTGTTCCAAGAACAAGTCGTGGGCATCTTTGAGAAACACTTTCGTATGCCCGAGTTGATAATCCGATTTTCCCAACACTATATGACAAATTTTTGACGTAACCGCGCGACAATCTACTTTGTGTGCCGGTGGTATACCCGGTATCAAAAACCTGTATCTCTCGACGAACTCCGGAAAGGAATGCCTGATTGGGTAACCAGCTCTGCGGATTCGGATCGTTTCCATCATTCCAGAATATCTTAATTGACGGCAACAAAGGCCTCTGTCGAACATCATCGGTTTCTTGTACTCGTTCGGTTTGATACACCTAATGAAGAAAGGTTGACAACTGCACAACGTTTTCATTAACGAATCCAAAGATTTTTTGAACTGAGTGGACAAGGTGGGAGTTCTTTTTCTCGTCTCTGATCCCATACCTATGTCTTCGGCGAAGCAAGCTTGTAGAAATTTGTTCGACGATATGTGGATCAATTGCAACAAATCGGCACTGAACGTATCCCTGTTCTTCTCGAGGAAACTTCTTGTATCGTAGAACACGACGCCGGCGAAATGATTCAGGCCGAAAGACGTGTTGATATCTGATTTTGGTTTTAAATAATTCCGATGGCTTCCGTGAGTTTTGTGTATCTTGGCTAGCATAGTTTGATCCGTCCCTTTGGGGAACTTTGATTCCTCGTCGATCAATGCCATAATGTTCAATTGTTTGATGGCTATCAAATCGAGGGCATCTTGATTGTCGACGAACTCGATGTGTTGCCAATTTATACCTTCGTGATTATATTCTTCTTGCTCAAGCTTGAAAATATGTTGGACGAAAAATTGTTGTAGATTCTCGTTCGCGTAATTGATGCAAAATTGTTCAAAGCTATTGTGACTGAAATTTTCAAAACCGAATATATCCAGTACACCTATAGCGCTTCTAGACGTGTTCTTGGGCCTGTAAATCGCTTCGTTTATTTTTTTCACGATGTGCACGAATAAACGCCCGTATATCCCCTTGACGAACGCGTCTCTAATATCCACCGATTGTTCTCTGGACAACGTGGACACCTACGGATACATTCTTAATTAGGAGAATACTTTTCTCTGATTATTGAATTAATAATGATATTTTGCATTTATCGTCCCCTGGATCGGAACGTAACGCGAATAATTCCTTACTTACAACAGTCTCACCGTGAGCGAATATTGTTTTACGAGTAAGTGCGTCTATCAAAGACTGAACAGGTACGCCCAATAAATGCGCTACTCTTTGCACATTTGTTTGTTCCGGAATTTCAGTAGCGTCCAAATTATCTGAAAAAGTTATTCAAAATAATTAAACCAGATACTTTTAATTATTAAATAATAATAATTTGTAAAGAGCTGCGTTTTTTATTTCACACT